TATAGATTAATTATGAGCAAGCTTGGAAATTATCACCTAATCTATTAACTTCGTGATGAATTCAATCTGTTTTTGACGAGGCTAAGTTGCCTCTTTAGCTTTAAATTTTTTTTTTTTCTTTTTTACTTAACATGATTTGTTTGGTGTTCAACTATTTGTTAAAGATACACAGAACAACAGATTTTTTTCCTTTTGTGGTTTATGATATAAGTATGTTTTAATCAAAATGTTATTTTAACCTTTGGCAAGATTTCCTATAACAAATTAGAATATCCCTATTGAGGGCAGAAATTTTTCTATAAATAGAGCTTACACTACTCTAGATCAAAGCAGTGAATGCATTCTTATATGCTAATTCTTCTGGTTGCTCTGAACTCGCGATATTCATTTAGTCCCTAGGCCCACCTCTAAGTTAAATTTTATGACGCTAAAAATTTTTCTGTTGTGGTGCTCCGAGACACCGCTTATTAAACATGCTAAACCATTAAACCCAATTTAAATTCTTCACACATTGGAGTTGCAATAATGTATCAATATGAAGGGAATATTGATTTCAATTATCTCAAGCACATTAGCAACAAAAGGCTTCGAGTAAATATTCCATTTCCATTCGTTGAAATTACTAGCGTGCAAGAGTGTGTGTAATACGTCAAAGTAGAAAAATGTTCATAAAGAGAAATTAACACAACCGCATACTAAAAGAAAGCTAACTTCAATTCAAAAAATTCAGAGTTTGGGGATATAGAAAGGCAAAGGCAAATATAATAAATAGATTTATGAAGAAACACTTGCTAAAAGTCGTCTATAATTTGAGCTACGTGGCTATTGAAGAACTTCAAGGATAAATCTCCCTTTACAAGAATAAAAATTTGTGTTTTGATGTGCCATTGAAAAATCTTGATATTTTTGCACATTCGTTTTGCAGCTTTTGTGCTATCTCTCTTTTCCTTTTTCTTTGTTTTAGCTAAAAGAATCCAATACTTATACATGCCTACAGGACTCCCACATTTATAACTTAACATTAAGACATTTCACTTCGATGTTGATTCATTGCTGATTTGTGACTTTCTGCATTTCCAATTGTTTGAAAAAGGGTGCCCATACTAATCTTAACCTGACAACCTATGGGAATGTTGGATTTATATTGTTAAACAAATCTTATTTCAAGTTTAAATTATATCTTTCTATGAGAAAATTTCATATTTCATTATTTATCAAACTAGGCTTGAAGTAAATATTCGGTACATCTCTCCTGTTGAAAATCTTATTAAACTCATGATTAAAGTTACAACGAAATGCGTTTTGATAATTTGGTTCGATTTTTCTCTAAGATATAAGTAGACAATTAGGAAACACTTGATCCAATTCTCCATGAATTAATAATTTTTTGATACTGTTTTAATGTTGCTGCAATATTTATCCCCTCCATATTAAGTTTAGCTTTATTAGCTTTGTTTTTAGCTTTTAGTTTTTCTTTTATATTTTAGTTTTTGTTGCACTTGAAGAAAAAGCTCAATAGTTTAAGTCTTGGGAAACTTATGTTAGTGTTATATTCATATATTTTATTATATAGTTTTTGTAGGGATTGTATTAGGCTAGTTTTCTAATCACTTTATAGTTAGTTTTATTCAGTTTTAGTTTATTGTTTTTTTTTTCTTCAAAGCTTCCTTGGAAACATTTAAACCTTCACTTGCATCTTTGACGAAATTTGATTAGTGATTTTGACACCAAAAAAAGCGCAAAGGTAAGCTAACTTTCTCAGCAGGACTTGCACGCCTTGGGCCGTGCAGACCCCCAGCACGCCCATGCAAAGAATCAAGGAAAATCAGCTTGGAGACTCAGGAACCATAGCACGCCCCTAGTCGTGGCTTTTATGGCATGCCCGTTTGGCCCAACAGCAATTGATATCAATTCAAAGGCATGTTCACCTAAGCACGGGCCCTATGCCTCTGCATGTCCATCCTAGTAAAGCCTTTCAGAGCCCCAGCATGCCGTTATGAAGCCGTTGCTGTCCGGCACGCCCCATGCCATAAAGTTTCTATCTCCAAAGCGTGGCTCACACTGAGCACAGTGGCCTTCTGTGCGCCGGGTATTTCACCCTAGAACTCAAATGGTTCGCAATCTACGGCCCAGACCATTATGGACCCAATGCGCGATGCCAAGTCGGCTGTTGCTATAACAACAAATTAGAGTCTTCGTTTTGAGTTTGAAGAACTCCGTCCAGCCCCTAGTGCGCCCTACCACTTGTATGGGCGACCACCACGAGATTACTTTCCTAAACGTGCCAAATCAAGTGCTTTTTAAACTTCCTATTCTTAGCAGACTTGATGGGAGAGTCCTACCATTGAGAAGTGAAAATTCAAAAGCCCTAACAGACCTTCCTATCTCCCATAGAAGATTTGCCCCTTAATTGAGAAGAAATTAAAAGCCTAAACAGCCTCCTATCTCCAAGAGATTTCCTACTCAATAAAGACTCTATTTCCTAAACGAAGTTGGAGTTTTCCCAAGAAGTCTATATAAAGAGAGAACTCATTCGGTGTAGGGGATCGGGGGATATACCATCTTTTGTTCTATTGTTTTTCTCTCTCTAAGACTTCAAGTAATCAAAATTTGTGTCAAGATTCAAGGAAGCCGTCCACATTATTTGTTGGCTAATTTTTATCTTTAAACTCTTAATCTTATTTTTCACTTTTCATTATTCACATTGATTATGGAATTATTTTTAAGTTTAATTGAGTTTTATTTAATTACTATGTCCAACTAAATTCTCATACTAGAGATTTGATGTAGCTTAATTTTTTTTCCAATTTATAAGATTAGATTCGCTTTTCTTTGTTCAAAGGATAGTTCATTATTGAACTTAATGCTCCCAGGTAGAGTTTCTCCCTGGATTGATTTATTTCATTAATCACTATTGAGAGAAGGGTTTTTTATATGAAAAAGGTAATAAATTACATGAGAATAATAACTTTTAACTAACTTGATGCGGAAGCTATATGGTTTGACTCATGGACGGGTTTTCATAGGAAGTAACCTTTAGGTTATTTTGTGTAATTCACAAAATAAACCATGAAAAACTTAATGATTTAATTCATGTTTGATTGCCACTATTGGAAGGATATGTAATTTAGGTCGCAGTTTAAAAAATAGCTAACAATTAAAATTGTTTTTGTAAATTTCTGATGGTTGTTTCTCATACTTGAACAAATTTTAAACTTGAATTATAAAAGCTAATAAAATAATTTGCGGACTTAGATTTAAAGTGAAAGTCAAAATTCCTCAGTAGCTTTTTAATCCTTGATTCACTTATTATCAAAAAAAAATTGGCCTTGCTTAATTTCTTTTTTATTCTCATTTTTAGCTTTTAATCCTTGATTTCTTATTATCAAAAAAATTGCCTTGCTTAATTTCTTTTTATTCTCTTTTATTTGTTGAAGTTAATTTCTTAAAATGATTCCCTTGATTGCCGTTTAAATAATAGTAAGTTGACATAATTTTTTTACTTGGTATACAATCCTCGTGGGAATGGTACTCTACTCATTCTTTATTACTTGTTGCGATTTCGTACACTTGCGAAAAATCATTGTCAGTCAGCTCACTTGTAAAATATATGAATATAAAGAAAGTGGTTTTTGAGGAGGCCTTTCAGTTACTTTAGTTTTGAAAATAGCTTTGGTGCAACCTGCATTGTCAAACGCCAAATTAGATGATGCCATGTGTCAAAACTCTAAAATTTTTCCAACAATAACCAACACTTACACATCTATCAACACAATACAAGTAATCAAAGTATTGCCCAGTACAGTGCTTTAGCCCAAGTTCTTCTCCTTCTATTCTCTTTATACATGTCTGTATTAAGTTGAAAAGCATTTTCCTTATAGTAATAGTGAAGAAAAATAATAAAGTCCCAATTGAAAGTATTTTCCTTTTGTATTAGACCTTTTAATATAAAAGTATTTTACCTCATATTCAATTAAAGGCTTCACACATTTAGGCTTGCAGAAGTCCTCCAGATATTTCTTTTGATCAACAAATTCTTCATCCGCCAAATCTCCTTCATCCGCCCTAATTTAATTAAAAGATATAATAGATATAAATTAAACAAATTTTAGGGAATAATTCTAAAGTTCCCCAAAACAAAAAAGAAGTGCTTTATATATATTAAGCAATTTGGCATGAAAGTGCTATAAGGCTCGACCCTTTGATTATCAACGAACGCAAAACTAACTTATTGGCTTCAATTTTAAAATTTCTCTGCGAGATAAATATAGTCTATTATGATTATGTTTAACCGTGTTATATAGTTATTAATTAATGTCACTAACATATTTATTCTCTATTTATTAAGCGTCCAACTTATAATAGTCATAAGCCTAATAAAATTTCTTTAATATTATACATGACGCCTTATTTAGGAAGGTTATGAAACCCATCCCCCAACTTATGATTGATGTTGACGCGTTATATTAATAACCGTGTAATAAAACACTTACACTACTTACTCTGTTATATGTGAGTGGAGTTAATCTTTAATGTGACAAACTATGATTGATGTTGATATATTAATAACGTAAAACACTTACCTACACTTGTTATATGGGTGGGTTAATCTAATGCAGACATATAGAACAAACGAGGGAATTGCTGAGTATTTACTAAAAAAAAAAGGACAAAAAAAGAGTCCTAAATGATAAACATTTTTTGCAATAACAATTTTTAATTTGTTTGACATATAGGTAGTCCCATATACCGAAACTAGATAAGTAATTTTCATTAATTACACCAAACAAAGCACAATGCTATTAAACGAATAACCTTAACTATAAGAGTATATAAGCTTACATAAAAGTTAAATTGAATGGTACAGGAATTTACTAAGCGTTCAAAGGTGTCTTTCCTGCACAAGAAAAATACAAATTGATCATTTACAATGATTAAGAATATTGATCCACATAGAAGAATTAACAAAAATCATATGAATATTAAAAAATTGCAAAATAACAATTCAATCGCGAGCAAAAACAATATCATATTAACAATAAAACTATAGTGAATCTAGAATGACTATTAAAATTTAAATGTATTAATCACCATGATCACACCTTTTAGTTGCTCTAATTAATGCAAGTTTCCTATTTTATGAAAAAAGGGAAAAACAATGTAGATTAACAAAATTAGAGCTTACAAATGGAAATGAAGGATTTGGGAGAGATAAAAAAGCTACAAAACGGGATATAAAAAATTTGGAAGTTATGATTTACAAATTACACACATATAAAACTTAAGAAACCTTGCCTTTATCCAATTGATATGTATCAATGTAACTTTGAGCTTCAACAATGCAACAAATTGGTATAAATCATCTAACAAACTTGGTTATATATAGCATAGAGATGCTTATATGGTGCCTTGAAAGTGTGGATACTCATAATTTTATGACCATTGAACTAGTCAAATACTTGGCCCATGATTATTGATACTATAATACTTTCATGTGAAATAAACATATTTTGTTTCATATTCATATATTGATACTGTATCCAAATTATTTGATATTCAATTAAAAAGACTCAAACTTGATATCTATCACGGATTAGAAATCTCAATATATTCATATATTGATACTGTATCCAAATTATTTGATATTCAATTAAAAAGACTCAAACCTAATATCTATCACGGATTAGAAATCTCAATCACCACTTGAAGTTATATTATAATTTTATGCGCGATTTGGTTTGTTAAGAATCAATGGTTGACTAATCACTAAGCGGTGTTTCTTCTTATAATTTAAATTAAATATCATGTGGATATCTATCTGTGTAAACTATATTCCTCCAGCCGAATGTATATATAATAAAATTAAAATGAAACATTTTTGTTATAAAATATAATAAATAGAGAATATATGTAGACATGTAATAGATATAATATAGAGAGAATAGAGAGAAATTGAATTCTTATATTAGAATCTTAGTTATCAATCCATAGGATTAAAGAACTATTTATAGGATACTCAATCCATTAGAGAGAATAGAGAGAAATTGAATTCTTATATTAGAATCTTAGTTATCAATCCATAGGATTAAAGAACTATTTATAGGATACAAAATACAATCTAAAAGACATAACCTTATACACGAAAGGATATAACCTTTCATCCTAAAAGACATAACCTTACACATTAAATGATATAACTATTCATCCTAAAAGATATAAACCTTTATTCCAAAGGACATGTCTTATGTAGAAGATAAATAATTTCTTTAATAAACTTAATGGACATCTATTATATAATATAGTATGTATAATACTTCTCCTTGGATGTCCATTATATGAAGAACATGCCTCGTTAAAACCTTACTAGGAAAAAGTCATGTGGAAAAAAAAATCCTAGTGAAGGAAAAAGAGAATAGTATTCTTTGTGTTTCAAAAATTTATTTCTCCCCCTGATGAAGACATCACTACTTGTCTTTTTCTTTAATGTACCATTCCTTCTGGCAAGATATAATATTTTAATATTATCTCCTACAATATATGGACATTGTTTTCTATGCAAGCAAATTGTATGTACTTTGTACGTGATAGGTGTCATTTTTTATAGTATTTTTAATATAGTTTTTATTTGGAATTTTAGTAATTTTTATCACTTTAACTAATTTTTACTTCGTTTTAACTATAATTTTGTTTAAAGCTTTAAAGCTTGTCCTCTGACATCATAATCCAACTCTGATCTTAAAAAGCAAATTCTGTAGCGGTTTTGCGCACAGGAATAGAGGTGCATTATAAAAGCAAAAACACTCAGGAATTCTTAGCATGCCGACGATCGTGCAACATTGCTATGCGGCCGTGCTAAACTTAAAGGAAATCAAGTGCGAGACTCAGACTACTTAGCCACGGCTTGAGGCCCGTCGCATAATCTGCAACACTCATTTGCCTTAAAGGACCCTCAGGGCGTGCTTGCCTAAGCATGTGCCCGTGTATTGCGTTTTATCTTGGGAAAAAGTTAAGAGCCTATCACGCCATGCAACGCTGCTTGCTATGGACGCACGCCCGCTGCTTCCCGAATTGTAAAGCTATTCATTTGAATTAAAAAACGCAAGCCCAATCCTTTTCATAAACTTACATGGGCCCAAACCTTAGATATTTTCACTTAACGTACAAAACAATGAACTAAGGCCCTATTATGAAGAAGGAAAGAAGAGTCCCTAACTTAAGATGAGAATCCAAGCCTAAATAGTTTTATTGATTCCAAAGGAACGATTTTTCGTAACTTAATAAGGGATTCTATTTCCTAAACGGAGTTCAGATTTATCTCCCAAGGAAAAAGTCTATATAAAGAGGGAACCAATTCAGTTATACGAGATATTCTTCTTACGTTCTATTATTTATTCTAACAATAGTTCCCTTCTCTCAAAGACTCAAAGCATCCAAGCAATAAATGTGCCAGAGATTCAATTATGAAGCCATTCCGCGTATCAGTGTTCTCAGTTTCTTATATTTCTAAACTCTTAATTTCTTGTTTATTTTTCATTATTCACATTGATTATTGAAGTTTGATTCATAGTATTATAGTTTTATTTGCATTATATACCTATGTCGACAACTAAATCCTCATACTTACGGGATTTGAATTGGTAGCTTAAATTCTTTTCCAAAGATTTATAAAATATAGATTTGTTCTTTCTTTGTTCACAAGTATAATTTTCATATTGCATCTAAAAGTACTCTCTAGGTAAGAGTTTCTCCCCTGGATTGATTTATTTCCCCCTGGATTGATTTATTTCATTAATCACTATCGGGAGAAGGGTTTTTGATATAAACAGGGTAATAAATTATATGAGAATAATAACTTGATGCAGAAAATATATGGTTTGACTCATAGGGGGTTTTCATATGTTAATGACCTTAGGTTATGAATTCACAAAACAAACCACAAAACTTAATGATTTAATTCATGTTTGCACTATTGGAAGATAGGTAATTAGATCAGATTAGAATAGCTAACAGTACATATTAAAATATCAATTTTAATCAGATACGTTACTGGCTTACTTCATAAATTGTGATGTCTTTCATAAATAAAGAAATGTAAATCATATATCAATTGTTATGAGTATAATGATCCTTAATATATATACTCAATATGATACTATGATACTTCAAGACATAGTATTTCATTATTGTAAAAAGATACAATACTTCAGGACTAAAGAGCTCTTCATCATTTTTGGAGGTTGAAATTAGTTCTTTATCTCATTAAATGACCTCACAATTATCAATTTCACTAATGGATTAGTTTTATCCATATACAATCATTTCGATCCTTTGGATTATATGTATTAGTTTCTATCCATATACAATTCATTCGATCCCTTTTGATTATATTATGATTAATGAGATGTAAATTCCATTTTATAAAATGTTCACTCTTTAGGAGCGAGAAAATTTTTTATTTCAAGTTCTTTCATCTCAGAATAATTTCTCCTTTTAAAGATTATAATTTTTGAAAAGCTCTTTCAGGGGAGTTTAATAATTTTCATAGAATCAAAAATTAATGGGTAATTATATTTAATTCTCTTATGAATTATAAATCAAAATAATGGTAAATTATATTTAATTCTCTTATGAATATATTCTATCAATAAATATTCACTAATTAATTTACTTCTAAGTAGCATAGCATATAAAACAAATATCAATACTTTGTCAAGAAGAGTGGAAACATGATAGAATTAATTTACCTAATGAATATATTCTATCAATAAATATTCACTAATTAATTTACTCTGAGTAGAATAGCATATAAAACAAATACCAATACTTTGTAAAAAAAAGAGTGGAAACGTGATAGAATTACATCATATATTTGTTTTCTACTATAGTCATTTCTTTAAGGCGATTATACCATCTTTGCGACAGATTTTCTGAATTTGTATAGAAATCTTTATAATTTACTTGAATATATTTTCAGAGTTTCAATTTGCATGCTCTAAGCATGTTTTAATCTTTCAAGGTAATCTTTCAAGGATTATTATTGTCAAGTAATCTATATAGAGCTCTACATAATTTCTCGAGAATTTGATTTTTGTTCTTCAAGCAACTTAAATCTTTGAGGGATTTTCACACAGATATCTATATCAAATGAGCCATATAAATAGGGAATCACTATTTATATCAATGTTAGTACTTTGTGAACATTTTATATAACAAGTTTTAATGTTTGGATTACAAATCCAAAAACTTTACTTTTCAAATAGATTATATCTCAATTGTACCAATCCATTTTGGCCAATCACCTTATGTCTATATTTAATACGTTTATAATCAAGATCCTCATCATTTTTCACAATAGTAAGTGCTATAGTATACGAAAAAATACAATCGATATTTATTTTATATCGATTTCATCTTTCCTTGATATGACATAACTTATCGAGATTTCATTATTTTCATTGAATTCATTGATTTTCAGGTACTTGATTTTCTTCTTGAAATTTATCAGTCATGTCTAAGGTCTCTTCTGGAGTTTATTCTTCTAAAGTTTTTCTTTTTAGAATTTGCACATATAACACATTTGCTCATTTTCATTTTCAATGATTCTTGTCCTTAGAACTGATTAATCTCCCATGTTTTAGGCATGCTATAGATTTATTAACATAGGCAGTTTATCATTCAAGGACTTTAATTCTAATAAGATTCTAGCAATTGATTTACAATAGTTTGAAAAATAACTATCTTTAGAACTTCTAGTTCACACAACCTTGTGAGATGATCAAAATTTGATAATAATAATTATTTTCAGTAATTATTAGTTTTAGCTACTTATTTTCTCCCCTTAATGTCGAGATCTATAAATTCTAAAATAGATCCATAATCAAAAGAGGAAAAACTTACAATAACTTATTGGTTTGATGCGAATAATTATTATTATACATAATAGCAATATCTCTATATATAAACAAGGAGTTCGGTTCTCAAAAAAATTGCTTTGAGAACACAACAAGGAGTTCGGTTCTCAAAAAAATTGCTTTGAGAACACAAGCATTAAAATTCATTAGATTTGAAGAAATTTCTGGTTCTTTAATAAATATCCATATAAGGATAAATTTTCTTTTTCACATCATTATCAATCGGTATGGTCCAACCGATCATGCCAAATAATAAAGTACTTGGATTTGTAAACTTCTAATTTATAACCATATTTATTTCGATCTTTATCTCCATATGATATCTAATTTAATCAATATCTTTGGAACTCAATGCATTATACTTAATTTTATTGCCTTTTAATATTTTGGTGTACTTATTTGCCTTTCAATATTTTGGTGT